TACACAGGCACTGAAACCGTCCTGCCTGCAGCCGAGTTCTCCCAGCACTCCATAAACTTTTATATGCATTCCTCGTTCCCGCATTTGTTTGTTTAAAGGTTTCTGTAGGGATTAATTACTCAGTCTTGCAAGTAAGATTGAAGTATCATCTCCCTCGTCGTTCCCCAGCCCCAGAGCACTCCTGCAGAGAAGGCTGCTTTCTCGCATGCTTTTTGGGGCTTTAGGGAGGAGAGCTGTTGCGAGCAGCAATCAGTTGAAAACTGATGGCCGAGGCAGCAAGTCCCGCTCACACTCAGCATCCGTGGTTTGAGCCTTGGCATGCTGGGTCTTAACGCCGTCTCACGTACCTCTGAAGCATGATCAGTTCTGACAGTGAGTGTCTGCAAGCCCAGTGTTTTGGCCAGGAAGGAGAACTACTAGGCTTTTTTAAAGGGAAGACCTTGGTCAGTGTTTCACTTTCCCTCCTGAAGCCACAATTCCACATGGAAGCACTGAGCAGGCCTGAGGAAAGCCCTACGTTTCCACTTTGCAGCAGCGGTGAACACAAGAGCCATCCCAGCCAGGACCCGTCTGGGTATCAGAAAGCTCTGGTCCCATTTACCTGCAGGAAGAAGTCAGGTTTTGTAGCAGTTCAGTGTCTAGAGTGTGGCACAGGCAGTTTGGAAGCAAGCAAGACACCCTTTCCACCTCCAGCATGCAGAAAACTTTTCCAGAGCATTTCTTTTATGAGATGTTTGTGTCCAGCCGATAGCATTGCCAAGACTAAGATTATCTTCCATGACATTGTTTGTTCAAATAATTGGCCATAAGCATTTTACAAGTTACTAAAAGTAGTAAAGAAAACAAGCACATAAATGACTTTGAAAACATGCTGCCCTTGTTGCTATTAAAGGCAGCGGATGCACACGCGCTCTGGCACCGCTGCCCACTCTCAAAGGGAGCACTGCAGCACTCGGCCAGAGCTCCGTTCCTGAGTGCACACGGCTTCAAGCCATGGCCCCAGATAACGATAAACCACCAGGCACCAGGGCTTGCCCACAACGGGCATAGAGCCCAAATCCCGCTGACACTGCTGTGGCCGAAGCACAGCATTTCAGCAGCTGAGACCTGCTCAGCCAGATTGCAATGGGAACCCACATTCACCTTTCATAAAGAACAATTTTTCATGACAGGTGATTTTCTCCTGCTCACTTCTCCCAGACCAGCTGCTGTGATGACCAGCAGAAGTCAAGATGTTGATGCCCACAGCTTGTGGGAGAGAGCTCCCTCCTGTCTAACTTCTGCTTTATTAGTATTAATATATGCATATATAACCCAGCATTTAAAGGGTATGGGAGCATACTTCACATTTCTTTTTAGGGTCTCATAGTGATTTTTTAGGAACAGCTAGGACTCCATGTCCAGTTTTATAGAGCTACAGAGTACCCAGGGGGTCTCTTTCCAGAGATCTTTTAAAAATAAAAATCTTTCTTCCTTTGCTGTTTTGAACTGTAGTCACTGCAAGCATCATTTCCCACTTTTTAAGTGTTTTTGTCAGGAATTTCTCTTATGTACCAAAAATGCTGAGATGATACACATGAAAGAGAGTTCATCAGCTAGATAAAGCTTTGGGAAAGTAAGAGTATTCCTACCACTTGGGTATTCCAGCTTCTTTAATCCTTCTTTTATCAACAAACTATTAAGTGATTCTGCTCACTCCACCTTTACCCACCAGAAAGTTTAAAGAGAGCAAAGCTTGCTTCTTTAACTCTTTAGACTAGCAAGACCATCCCAAAGTGGATGTTTGGACTGCTTGTATCAAACCTTGATCCTGTAAAGAGAATATAGCTCCTTAAAATCTACAGTATTAGGCAAGGCTCTTGACATCAGCTACAAACAATTTCTGAAGTGGGTCTGCTGGGCTATAAATCCCAAATATCAGCTAAATCAGTGACTGAAGACAAAATATAATCATGGTCATGCCATAGGTGGAATACATTTTAACAGAAGACCTGCAGTGTCTCAGCCTTTCCATTAAAGCTGGAAGGATGAGCCACCTGAGCCAAAACACGATGCGCTCAAGAAAACTCTCCCTGCAGATGGAGCGAGACAACCAAAATCTCTGCATGTGGAGCACAAAGAGCTGAGCCTCAAAAAGACAGCCCACGAGCTGAATGCTCATAATTCAATGGACTGTAGTGGGAAAGTATTTGTCAAAAAAGTAGCTAGGGAGAAAATTCATGTGGTTGTTCTTCTCAAGAACCATATCTTGTCTCTGTAGCATCTGATGTGGTAGTGATGCTAGCTACTGCTGACTGCAGCGATGATGCTCAGGAAGCAGAAACCGGACAGGCAATGTGGAGTGCTTCTTGCAAAGGAGCACCGGGCACTGCAGCACACACAGGATATACCCATGATCATTATCTTGATCAACAGTCTGCCCCCAGCAAAAGTTTAGCTCTCTAAAGTGTTGAGTGATGGTACACCGCTGCATTGCTTCCACCCCAAGGGCAGCTGCAACCAAAGCTGTCACTAGTAAGTGTGGCCCAGGCAGCAGCCTCATCCGAAATCCTGGCAAGGCAGCTACCACCCCCTGTGCTTCATGGAAATGTTACAGGGAGCACCCGGAATTGCGAGACCCATGACAAGGTGTAAAAATCTGATCATTTTGATACTTACAGGCTTCCTTGGGCCTACAGGCTCTGAAGCAAGGAGACATTCTGCAGCTCTGTGGACCTGTTTCACCACTATGTTTTAGTCCAGTTAAGCAACATCTGGCAATGATGAGCTCTAAGAGCTGCATGCTTTTGGTCTCTGAAAATTTCCAACATGAAATCAAGGAGAATTAGAGAGAGCACTGGGCTAGAACATGGCAACACTGCTAGAATTACAACCAGAAATAAAGCCTGTGTAGAATAAAAAGGACACTAGAGCAAGCGATCCATCTTCAGCCTGAGCTACAAAACTTCAGCTAGAGGTGAGACCATTCCTAGCAGACAAAGAGCAGTTCACTCATCCTGCACAGAGACCAACAGAAATCTGTCTCCTTCACAGGGATACATGGACAAAGTTATGGAGCAATGGATATTCACAGCTGTGCTGCAGCAGGAGGTAAGAGACACCACGGAGATCCCATCAGCAGGACACCACTCCAAAGTGATATCCTCAAAGGAGCAGTCCCAGCTGAGCCAGGAATACAGAAAACAAAGATTCACCCACCAAAACCTTCAGTGTGGCCCCAAACGTGAGTAGTTGGATGGGGCGAGCAGTGCATGTTTCCACCTTCCTCCGGGGCTCCTTGGCAAGGTGCCATCACCACTGCTCTCAGGGTGAAAACCAGCTTTTGGCCCCTAGTAACACTGCAGCAAAGCCTGTCTAACTAAATGAATGATGTTGTTTACAGCTAGAAGATGGTCTCCATTACACAACGCAGCCATCCCAGCCAAGCTTACAGGGAGAAGCTGTTCTTTGAGGGGGTTGTTGCTTGAAAAAATGAAGAAGAAAACAGAACTAGCTGAAGCCAACACAGTGATTTAACAGCACAGGAAACATAATCTGCTTCTGCCGAGAAGACAATGGATCTGCAGATTTTTCCAATTCACACATACTGTTGGGCATATCATATACTTGGTTTTTAGCCACTGTCTGGACAGCTAGTGGAGCAGGGGAGAGAAAGGAAACCCAAATCTGTAAAACATGAAAAAGAAAAAAGCTGACATAGACCATGAAATTTAGAGCAAGGAAATGCACCTGCAGAGATGGGGCTGAGAGAAGGTGCTTCAAACTCATCAAAAACATGAGAACTCCAGCAGATAGAAGTGAGCGGGAAAACAAAAATTAAGAGGGGAAAAAAAAAAAACAAGAGCAGCAACTGTGTCACTGGTTGCTCTGCTGACATGTCAGCTGCAAGGCCTGGGTCTAGTGCTCTTGGCATCGTAAGCAAAATAATCAGCCTGCAGATTGCTGATCCCTGGCTGCTGGGTGCATCAATCAGCTCCCCGACTGCACTTTTCCTTTGCACTCTGGGTACAGGATGAAAACCAGGGAGGGCCCCAAGGACATGGGCTTTTAGGGACCCAAGCCCAGCTCCAGCTGCTCAGTGACATCTTCAGACCTGCTGGAGACAGGCAGCGCGCCCCTGGGGTGCTCTGCGTTTTGCCCATGGGGATCATCTTTTACCACTCAGAGATGGCTCAGGGCTTATCCCGAGAAGAGGGTCCACCAGGACACAGCACTCCCCTGCACATTCCGGGCTGGCAGGGAGTGGGAGGCTTGCACAGCTCCTGGCAGTGTCCCGTTTTACTGCAGAGGAGTCACAGTCATTGACAGGGCTGTGCTCAGGGCTCAGTCGCGGCTCTTTCCTCAGCATCCAGATCACAGCCTGAGTGAGCCTGAGGCATCTGCAGCATGTGTAGCCGCACCAGGGTGAGAGGCCCCCATCTCACATCTGGGTGGCAGAGCTGCTCTCAGCTGCCTTTGCTGAAGCCCTAACTGGAGAAAAATACAAAAATGCCCCTCCAAAACAGAGGAGTTTTGCGCAAACTGCCAAGCAGATCCTTGGAACAGTGATCAACCCAGGAGTATGAGCCTCTCCTGGACAGATCTCGAGGGAAGTCTGTTACCTGCTGCTGTTTATGGAGGGCAGGAGGTGGGAAAAGCCATTGTCAGACCGTGATGCTCAGCTGAGAAATCTCCCTGCCTCTCAGTAATGCTCTTTACAGCAGGGCGGCATTTAATCAGCTTTTATCTGCCTAAAGACTTGATCCCCATTGGTCTGCAGCAGGAAGAACCAGGTAATTTATTTTCACTGTGCACTAAAAGCACAGCCCAACCGACGCTGCAATGCTTGCGGTTCACCTATCCAAAAGGTACATGCTCTTTTTCTTGCCTCCTTCTCTACTATCCATCAGGTATTAGATGTGGTGGCTGACTTGTGGCTGGTCATGTTCTTTCTTGTTATATTTATATTTACTTGTGCAAAGGCTGGACTGAGTCTGAATATCTCTGATACATGCCCAAGCATGTGCAAATGTGCACCTGAAGAGATTATCCACTGTAGCAGAGCAGGACTGAGAGCCCTCCCTGGAGAAATAGCAGCATCTACTGTCTCTCTAAACCTCTCCAATAATTATTTGCGGATTCTCACAACCAATACCTTCAGAAACCTGACTTTCCTCCACAGCCTCTGGCTAGATGGAAACAATCTGACTTTCCTGTCGCCAGGGACCTTCCACGCTCTCAGCAAGCTGCGAGAGCTGCACCTCAGCAGGAACCTGCACGCAAACACTTTCAGAGGACTATTAAACCTCATCAGCCTGGATTTGTCCCACTGCAACATCTTCGAAATCCACCCACTTCTATTTTCACACCTACCTTCTTTAGAAAGACTTGATTTAGCCTCCAATAACATGCGGTATGTCCCCCAAGCCTTTAGGAATCTCTCCAGCCTCACAAGGCTGTCCCTGGAGGGCAACCACATAGAAGCCATTGGCAGAGATTCCCTGAAGGACCTGGAAACCCTGTACGATCTGAATCTGAGGAAGAATCGGATATGGATCATTCAAAATGGCGCTTTTAAGAAGCTTCTCAGATTGAGCGTGTTAAATTTAGGACACAACTTCATCGCTGATTTGCCTAATCAGCTTTTCGATGGGTTGATCCAGCTCAAGACCATGCACCTTGAGGCCAACAGAATCACTGCTGTTGACTGCACCTTCAGACATCTGCTGAGCTTGAGAAACTTGTACCTGAACAACAACCAGATCTCCCTGATCTCAGACTCTGCTTTCTTGTACTTAAACAAGCTGCACTTCCTTCACCTGAGCAAGAACAACCTTAGCTCCCTCCCTATCCGCTTGTTCGCTGAACTGCCAAAACTGAAGTATATGTTTTTATCCCACAACCCCTGGAAATGTGACTGCAAGATGCTTTGGTTCTGGCGGTGGACTGCAACACGCAGGGGAGCGATCGAAGGGCTGCACTGTGCCTTCCTGGGCTCTCACAACACCACAGCGCTCGAAGTCCCCCATCCAGGGGACCTGATGGACTGCATGGTGCCACCTGAGCTGGCAAGTGAAGACAAGTGCAGGGTGGCTGGTACCAGCATGGCTCCCAGACCCCCCGCTCTCCCCAGCGAGGTCATCCTGCTGGCATTTGTCTGCCACACGTGGTATTTTGTGAGGGGATGGGTTGCCTCCATGGCCACATTTTGACAATATTTAAAGTGGAGGCCATTTATTTATTTTCTTACTATTTGTTTGTGAACAATGTTCTTCATTACAGGTAGATTTTATATGGAAATAGAGGGATTTTATTATATAGGAATAAACGCTTTCATTCGTGCACAATGCTCAAATCTGAAATGCTAATATCAAAAGTCAATGTAACGTTTACATGCAGAGGAGAAGCTCACATTAGCAAGTTCAGGGCTGGGGCTTGTGCTGGGTGACATGGGGCTGGGAAGCGTGGCCCCACCACAGCTTCTGTCCTCCCCATTTCCTGACTGACCGCAGCCACGTGAGATCTCTTGGGGAAGGGCTGCCTTCCTGCGCTCAGCTCGCACTGGGGATATTGTGAGTACTGCTGAAGTAGGAATAAACTGCATGTGTTCCAGCACATCTGGAGTCCCCAGAAAAGGCTACGTCCATCAGCATCTCTGTGAACGTATGGTAGCTTCCCACAGCTGGCACATGAGATGCTTTGCTCTTAGAATATGAGACAGTGTTGAAGGAGTGAGCAAAAATGTCACCAAGTAAAACATTTTATCGCTCAGCTACTCCTTGCAGTATTGAGCCTCATCTAACACGGGTCTGCATTTACCCCTGCAAAGAGCTCATTTGTCTCAGGATGGTCCGTACAAGTTGTGTCTCCCTGCATTCTGTCGACAAGCTCTGGCATGGCATTGCACCAGTGCCATACTCCCAAGCTGCCTCCCTCCAGCTGCTGGGAGACACTTACAGGTCATCATGATGCCTCCATCACAGCAGTATTCACCTTTCTTTCCTCCCCCCCCCCCCCCAGATTAGCCTTCTCTATTCTCCCAAAAGGAATTTTCTGTTTCTGCGGGTATATTAAAAACAGCCTAAGTCCTGCTGCAGACTATGTGATGCTCCACTAGATAGCTCTCGTGTCAGCTGTGTGCCGCACCAGAGCCACAAGCAGCCACATGGGATGAATCTCATCTACAGTATAAGAAGTTAAACTACACCCCTCTCTCTTCAGTGATTAAATACGGATCACAGTCTCATCTCCACCCTCACTCACTGCACAGCCACTCCAAACATCCCACTCAGTTCTGTGAAACTGGTAAATAAGTGTCCCATGGTGGTACACCAATGCAGAGAAGTTGTACATGCTTCAGCAGCGTGGGTTCAAAGGCACAGCCTTCCTCAAGCCCACACAGAATCATAGAATAGTTTGGGTTTGAAGGGTCCTTTAAAGGTCATCTAGCCCAACCCCCGTGCAATGAGCAGGGACATCTTCAACCACATCAAGTTGCTCAGAGCCCCGTCCAACCTGATCTTGAATATTACCAGGGATGGAACATCTACCACCTCTCTGGGCAACCTGTTCCAGAGTTTCACCACCCTCATTGTAAAAGATTTATTCCTTATATCTAGTCTAAACCTACCCTCTTTCAGTTTAAAACCATTACCCTTTGTCCTATCGCAACAGGCCCTACTGAAAGTTTTGTCCCCATCTAAAAAGATAAGCCTCCTTTAAGTATTGAAAGGCTGCAACATGGAGTCTTCTCTTCTCCAGGCTGAACAACCCCAGCTCCCTCAGCCTGTCCTCACAGGAGAGGTGCTCCAGCCCTTTTAACAGCTTCATGGCCTCCTCCGGACCCTCTCCAACAGCTCCATGTCCTTCTTACGTTGTGGGCCCCAGAGCTGGACGCAGTACTCCAGGTGGGGTCTCACAAGAGTGGAGTAGAGGGGTAGGATCACCTCACTCGACCTGCTGGTCACGCTTCTTTTCATGCAGCCCAGGACACCGTTGGCTTTCTGGGCTGCAAGCGTGCATTGCCGGCTCATGTTGAGCTTTTCATCCACCAACACACCCAAGTCGTTCTCCTCAGGGCTGCTCTCAATCCATTCTACACCTAGTCTGTATTGATACCTGGGGTTGCCCCAACCCATGCGCAGGACCTTGCTCTTGGCCTTATTGAATCTCATGTGGGCCCACCTCTCCAGCCTGTCAAGGTCCCTCTGGATGGCATCCCTTCCCTCCAGCATGTCGACCCACCACTCAGCTTGGTGTCGTCTGCAAACTTGCTGACGGTGCACTTGATCCCACTATGTCATTGATGAAGATATTGAACAGTACTGGTCCAATACAGACCTCTGAGAAACACCGCTTGTCACTGGTTTCCATCTGGATATTAAGGCATTGACCACTACCCCCTGGATGTGACCATCCAACTAATTCCTCATCCACTGAACAGTCCATGCATCAAATTCATATCTCTCCAATTTAGAGAGAAGGATGTTGTGGGGGATGGTGTCAAAGACCTTACAAAAGTCCAGATAGATGACATCCGTAGCTCTTCCCTTGTCCATTGATGCAGTCATATCCAGAAATATTAAGTTTTTTTGGATGCTTTTTCCTTTACACCATTATTGACTTGCAACGTGTTCCTGGCCAGATAACACAACTTGCTGGGCTAAACTTCTGCCTGGCACAGACCCCTTTACAGGGGAAAACCTTTCTGCTCTGCAGAAGCACTTCCCCATGCTGGGTTGCAGGAGCAGCCCCACAGCCTCCAGAATCAGCAGCACCATTTGCCGATGCTCAACCAAGGTGTCTGGTGCTCAATAGTAACCGTGATGACAAATCCTGTCCTTCAGGCACCAGGGACAGTCAATGCTGGGTATTTGCACTTCGCAGATATGGATTTCCTGCAGAGATTAAATTGCACCATAGGTAGAGTGAGTAAGTCTGCCCGCAGAGACCTGTCCTGCAGAATTAGCATGGTCTTCCCTTGGCTTTGGCTGCCGGCGCACAGAAGGCATGATCTGCACAGACAGCATTTGTGCCTCATGGTGTCTCTTTGTTTTCCACCTTCAGGAGACTTCAGGAATTTAGTAATTCCTAAAGCCACAGTGAGCAGAGCCCCTGCCGCCCACAGCTGCCTCCATTGCTCTGACGTCGCCATTGGCCATGCAGGCTGGTGGCAGCACTGCCAGGTTTAAGGAACATTGGCTTTTACCGTTCTTTGGCTTTTTCTCTGAGATGCTTTCAATGATTATTTCTCACCTGACTTCTAAAAACAAGAGCACTTAGATAACATTGCAGAAAGGTGACCAAATTTTCAGGAATTATCACTGTATAAACACTTGCCACAAGACATGCCCAACGTTTACTGAGCACTCACAGAAGGAAGTAACAGAACATGTGTCAGACACACCACATTCGTCCCTGTCCGTAAGAGGAATTACCCCAAGCTGTTAAGAAGTAAGAGAGAAACAAACCTTTGCTTAGTGCTGAAAACACACAAACCAGCACATTTTGACAAGGGAAACCTGGCGTGGAGTGCGGAGTAAGACCAACCTTCACTGTTGCACCAGTGAAGGGACAAACTGGGGCTGCACAACAAAACCACACATGCCACATCTTCCTGGTTATCAGATTTGTGATTAGGTTTGTGCAAACTATTCAATGGTTAATACATTTTTGCTTACATTTTGTTTGTGCATTCAGCACCATCCTCACCTTCCTCAGCTTCACGTACTTTGGGAGGTAGTGGAAAAAATCTCCAGTTTGTTTCTTGCTTTTGCATTCCTCTGTGCTAGTGATCTGCAATAGAAAAAGGCAGAAGTTAAAAAACAAGCAAGCAAAACCCACCTCAGCAAATTTTAAACTCTCTACAAAATTAGATGTTTTCCATTGAAAAATATAAATTGGTGAAAAGTTTATATAAAGGAAAGTCTTGTCTCCTCTGGATGCTTGCAGAAAATATTCCTTCCATTTTTAAACCACCACCTTGTTAAACACTCAACAGGAGTGCAACTAAATTGCTTATTCTGTACTACGATAAAGCAGCGATAAGAAAAGACAGATACATGTGGTCACTTCCAAAGTCTAAGAATTTTGACTGTAATTACACTATAACTCCAGCCAGTGCTATAAATCACTAGACCACT